AGGAATGCAGAGAAAAAGGGTGAATCGTAACAGGTGATAAAAAGTGTAACAAAAATAAGAAAGAAGATTATTGGGGTGATGGACGAGAGGGAGGGGAAGGGGAAAGAGAGTGGCGAGGGAGAGGGAGGGAAAAGGGAAGAAGAAGAGAGGGGAGAGAGAGGGTGGCGGTGACAAGGAAGAGGGAGGGGGAGAGACAGAGGGAATGAAAGAAGGATGAGGGAGGAGAGAACGTAGGGAGGAGGGAAGAGGGTAGGGATAGAGGAGAGAAGGAAGGAGAAGGAGGGAGGTAGGAGAGGAAATGGAAGGGGAAAAAAGTGGAATGTCCCCGTCTTTGAATACCCCCCCCTACCCCCTCTCCCCCCCTTTTCGGTTCCCCCATGGATACGTCCCTGTAGCTCACGCCCCCTCATCTGTCCCTTCTCCCCATCTTACCTCCTGTGGCTCTATCACCTCCTCCCCCATTCCACAATCTCTCTTACCACCCAACATCATATCCCCCTCCCTCCTCACTTCTCCCAGGTGGCGGGTGTGGGCGGGGCGATGAGGGGTGAGGCAGGCCATGTGGAGCGGGGGTGAGCGAGGGGTGGGTGTAGAATGTGATGGCACCTGCGGCAGAGGGGGGAGGAGGGCGACGTGCATATGTATGGGACAAGGGAGGGGTCACCCGCCACTGGGCTACATGACACGACCCTACCCCCTCCCCCTGCGATGGTAGAATACACCTCGACCCTGCGCCCTCCATTCCTCCACTCCCTCCATGCCTCCACTCCCCGCGCCCTCCATGCCTCCACCCACATGCCCTCCGCACCACTCCTTCACACCTGGCCGGTATCTTGTCCCCTCCATCTACCTGGCCTGGATTACCTCAACTGTACCAGATGTGTGACACTACCACACACCTGAGTGCTAACAGCAGTAGAGTATCATAAACAGTGTCAACAACAGCAGCAGACCACAAACAGGAGAACAGTACCACTAGCAACAGATCAGAAACAGCAGAGCACAAGCAGCAGAGCAGCACCGGCAACAGCAGAGCAGCACGGGCAGGAGCAGACCGCCAGGGGGCCATGCAGCATTTCACCGGCCTAACACTGGCTGCCCTTTGAATAAATCTATTGGTAACCTTTCCAAGTGATTTATAAATTCCGGGCGGGGGGCGGCGTGCCCCTGGGGACCCCGCGGGCGTCCAGCCTGATTACTCGCCCCACATATCCCTCTCCTCCCCCTCCCGTGACCCATCGCTGGAGGGGCGAGGAAGCTGGAGGTGGGAGAGGAATAAGTGGGAATGGAGGAAAAACAAAAGAGAAAGAGAAGGAGAAAATGGGGACGAATACAAGAGAAGAGAGGGAAGGAAAGGGAAGAAGGCGAAAGAGAAGGAAGAGGAAGGGAAAAGAGAGAGTGGAGGAAAGTGACGAGCGAGGAGGAGGAATCAGAGAGAAAGGGGGATAGAGGAGACGAGGAGGAGGGTGTGGGAGGAAGAAAAAATAAAGAAGAGAAAGAAGAGGAGGAAGATCATCTATCCCCCACCCCCCCACACGACAGATAGAGAGGGGGGGATGCCATACGCTGCCTCACCCCCCCCCTCACTCACTATTAACATAATCATTTCATTGTCTGACAGAGGGAGGCTCCGGTGGTCACTGTATTATCGAGGTATAGTGACACCCCCCCCCCCATAATCTGACACAATACACCTATCACTATATCTACAGGACCACCCCATCACATGAAGAGTATTATCAAGAGGAGCATAGAATAAAGAGCATCACATGAAGAGTATTATCAAGAGATGGTTTAAGTCGTGTTGTATTAGAGGGTGTGGCCACGTGTCACCTGGTGTAGTGTTTGTAAACAAGAATCAACTGATAGCCTTAGTGGCGGCGTAATGGATAGCCAGTTATCTCACACACACACACACACACACACACACACACACACTCGGGGTTGGGTGAGGTTAGGTTAGCATAAGGATGGTTAAGAGGAAGCATTTGAATCACCACCCCCCCCTCTCACCATTCCCCCCTCTCACCACCCCCCTCTCACCACTCCCCCCTCACTGGGTCACCACAATCATCACCATCAGCCGCCTAGTGTGGTCATGATCCTCTTAGTGTTTATTTACACATGATTGTGAGGGAGGAACAGCTGGTGGTGGCCCGGGGGGAGGGGGGAGGTCGTGGGTAGGGGGGTGGGGGTGGAGGGGGAAGGGGTGACGCCTCTCTACCCCACCACAGCTCTTATTACACCAATACCATTAAACACTTTCTTAAACAATACCACCTTGCTTCTTATTGTTATGCTTTAAAATAAACATCTCTGAGCTTAACCTAACCTAACCTAACAATACTTAACCTAACCTAACTTAACCTTACCTAATTTAATCTAACGTAACCTTATCGAATCTAAAATGGTTAGTTACGTTATATTACTCAAAATACTGAATCATGGTGTGGGGGAAACAGACGCACGGACACGCCTCTCTGTTATATCCCCAACATCTGTTTATAACAAACAAACGCTATTTTATATAAATACTCAATTCCTCCACCCTTACACCCCCTTACCCCTACCCTCACCCCTCACCTCACCTCCACCCCCACCCTCACCCTCACACCCCCACCCTCGCACCCCTCACCCCCACACACCCCTCACCCCCACCTTCACACCCCCACCCTCATAACCTGCTTCAACATCCATTACTGAGTTATTTATCTTGTTACTTTTTATACAATTATTTAAATTATTTTTTTGTTTCATCAGTCAGCTCTATGAATACCAATTCTGACTAACTAACTGACTTACTGAGCGTAAACTGTCTCACTGAAAGTGGGTCCCATAGGCATGACTGTCAGTTAGTTTAGGTGCGGATACAACACACTGTATACCCAGCCTTCGGTACACAAGGCCGGTACTGCTCTAGACCGCCTTCACTTCCCTATTTAGAGCTGGGTGAAGTGAGAGCGCTCGGGAATCGAACCACGGACCCCTGGAACACAAGGCGAGCGATGTATCCACTCGACCGCCGCTTAAAAGACCAAATACTTCGTTATGTTCAGTTTTTCATTACACACAGAGCAGAGAGATCCTGGTGTTTACCTTCAGCCACTCAGTGTGCCGGTGGGGTGGGACTACTGTAGTACACGTCTAATGTCGGGGTTTCGATTTTGATGTCTGTCTGTCTGACTGTTTGCAAGATGTATTGTATTACCTGAAGACTAACCACCAACTTATTTCACCTGATGATTAAACACCCCAACAGTAACCTAATCCTCCAGGTAAGCGTTAGGGTGTTTAATGATCAGCTGGTGAGGCTAATCGTCAGGTGATCCAATTTCTTCATGAAAGTAAACAACACAGGACTGAACCTCCAAGATGGCGCCACAACTCGGTAGTCATGAACGACAAAAGAACTAAACATCACACCCAGTACAGTACAGTACCAACAACTCCCACTACAGCTGTATATCAACAATTACGAGGTAATGTATAACCCACACTGTTCTCTGATTGGTTCATCAACCTGACGCCATAGTTGTGACGTAATAGTTCAGTGTAAGAAGAAAAATTTCCCCGGTAGGTAACTCTCACTTCCCCGGTAGGTAACTCACTTCCCCGGTAGGTAACTCTCACTTCCCCGGTAGGTAACTCTCCACTTCGATGGTGCTCACTTCCCAGTGGGTAACTCTCACTTCCCAGTAAGATAACTCACTTCCCCATTGGGCCACTCACTTCTGATGAGTAACTCACTTCCCGATGAGTAACTCTCACTTCAGTGGATAACTCACTTCGGTAGGTAACTCACTTCCCCAGTGGGTAACTCAACTTCCCCATTGGGTAACTCACTTCCCCAGTGGGTAACTCACTTCCCCAGTAGGTAACTCTCACTTCCCATTAAGATAACTCACTTCCCCAGTGGGTAACTCACCTTGCCTTCTGATGGGTAACTCACTTCCCCAGTGAGTAACTCACTTCCCGATGACCTTTCTGCTTCAGTAGGTAACTCTCACTTCCCCAGTAGATAACTCACTTCAGTGAGTAACTCACTCCCCAGTGGGTAACTCACTTCCCGGTAGGTAACTCACTTCCCAGTAGATAACACACGATTCTGAAGACAAAATTAATGTAAGATTGGCCTCTTTGCAACAGCCAGAAGTGGGGATAATCTTACAGCAGTTGAGGTTATCTATGAGGTGTCTGAGTAGTGACATTTTTTCCAGATTTTGGCACGTATCGCGGGCAGGCGGGCGTGATACATGGGCACGATAACTACTGATGCCCCCCCATTATATTTTAACGCTTTTAATTTTAGGGAACTGCGCCACATAATTCAGAGGTATATCAGGTATTGCAGCATATTTTTACTCTAATTAATAGTACCAAATGAGGAGTAGTTATTTTCACATTTATTAAATAAATGATTCTGATATTTGCATATTGTTAATTGGAGCACAGACGCACAGAAACATTTATATACATAAGTTTGTACACACACACACACAGTATATATATACAGTATATACTGTATAGTGTGGAGAGTGTATATTGTGCGTGGGGTTGTGCAGATTTTGCGCGCGCGCGCGCGCGTGTGTGTGTGTGTGTGTGTGTGTGTGTGTGTGTGTGTTTACTATAATTAAACACGAGCAGAACGGAACCTGTATAATAACCTATCACCCAAAAACTAAACTAACACTTTAAACAACTGTTAACACCACTAGATACAAAATTAACACCAGCTCAACATCCCCGGCCAAACATAACCTAACACAACCAAAACACCACCTCACCTCACCACCCGAGATACAACACCTCCAAACATTAGCTCAACAATAACCACACACACACACACACACACAAGGATAGCAGCAGTAGAGAGTGAGAGAATCTGGTGGTGTGAAAATCTGTAGCAGGAGCAGCGGCAGGGAAGGTCTCCAGGGACTTGGGTTCTCGCCAGCGCCCTTGTGTTCGTAATGGAGGCTAATTGTAGAAAGGATTTTTTCCAGGATCCAGCCTCTGATCCCCTCGCCGCACCCTCGGGGTCTTTATGCCTCCTCCGCCGCCGCCTCCGCCAACACCGACTCCGCTACTCAGCAGAGTCTGGAACACCGGAAGGAACATTTCTGGAACGTGGAGGGACTGGGTCTGGAACACCAGAAGGAATACCCCTGGAACGTAAAATGACTGGGTCTAGAACACTGGAAGGAACATTTCTGGAACGTGGAGGGACTGGGTCTTGAACACCAGAAGGAACATCCCTGGAACGCAAGGCGACAGGGTCTGGAACACTGGAAGGAACATCTTCGGAACGTAAAACGCCTGGGTTTGGAACACTGGAAGGAGAATCTCTGGAACGTGGAGGAAGAAGACCAGGAAAATAGTGCTTGTGAAACGTGGAGGTTTATTCCTTCTCCCTCCTCCTCACCAAGGTCTGGAAAACTGGAAGGAGCATCCCTGGAACGTGAAGGGACAAGGTCTGGAACATTGGGAAGGAGCATCCCTGGAACGCAGAAGGACAAGGCCCGGAAAATAGTGCTTGTAAGACGAGGAGGTTATGGGAGGAATAACTTGGGGAACTTGATTCAATACGACTGGAATGGTATGGAACGCAGAGTGGTGTGGGGGTGGGGGGGAGGAGGAGGGAAAGCTTGTGTGAATGGACGTCTGTCTCTCGCCTCTTACACAATGCTGTTTGGAAGATTAATGCCGTTCATGTGTTTATATTCACATAGAACGGTCTTGGAAGAATCTCTGTAATATTTAATGGGTGGTGCCAGACCGGTGCTCTTACAGGACCTCTGGAAGATTTAAGGAGGTTGGTGACTGCTACTAGATCTTACTAGTTACAGACGAGTACAAGATCAGCGGCGTTCTTGGGGGTGGTGAAACTGTGATCCTGGAGAGATTAGTTCGACCAGCTGCGGGAAATTCCTGGAAGGTTAATCGGAACCAACTACTAGAAGATCCTGGAAATCTTACTAAAACAAAGATAAATAATACCGAGCAAACAATCAATAACGAAATAAAAGAAAGGAAAGACAGACAGACACAACAAAAGCCTTGGTGATGATGATAGTAACACCTCATCCTCGGTGTGTGGCGGCGGTGTATAACAAGGCAATAATAAAAACCTGTGACGCTGACAAGACAAATAAGATGATGAATGTAAATTACACAATGAAAAACAGTACACACACACACACACACACACACACACACAGAACATGACCCCATCATAATACAAATAAATTAACTCCTGGTGTACTGGGGTCTGTCTCTGTGCTGAATATAATACTCACCTCACCTAATCTAACCTAACCGAACTTAACCTAACCATACAACGTCTTATAATTAAGAAACAGAACAAACTCAACATATATAAATTAATTTTAAGTTGTAGCAAAAAGAAAAAGTTATCCCTATTTGGTCCAAAAACGTCAATTGCTTTTGAAAGTTTAATACTAATTTAACGTATAACATGGACAAAAAAAAAAAAACATACATACATACACACATACATACATACATACATACATACATACACACATACATACATACATACATACATACATACATACACACATACATACATACATACAGACATAATAAAAATAATAATGGTTGCCCCTCGTGTAACGAGGATGGCCGGCTCAAGGGCCACCTAGGCGTGAATTTGTTTAAGGTGTAGAAGCTGTCGCCAACACAACAACCACACCCTGAGTTAACGAGCTGCATGACCCAGTGTCAAGAAATATTCGAAGACCGGACAACTCGCCAACTGCACTGGCTAACCATTACCCCGGAACACGATCCGCAAATCGATTAACATCCACGTCCCCAATTACTGCTGGGTAAATATATCCATGCGTACTGTACATACATACTGTACATACCCTGTACATACATACATACATACATACATACATACATACATACTGTACATACATACATACATACATACTGTACATACATACATACATACATACATACATACATACATACATGTTGATGTTACGCATACATACTGTACATACATACTGTACATGGCCCTGTAAAATATATATACATACATACATACATACATACATGTAATATTACCGTACATACATACATACATATCGTACATATATACATACTGTACATACATACTGTACATACATACATACATACATACATACATACATACATACATGCTATTACATATAAAAACAAATTAGTAAAGGCAGGCGACGCTTAACACCTAGTGGAGTAAAAAAAAACGAAAAAATAAAAATAAAACAGTGGAGCGCAGATGACTTCAGCAACTCGTGACAACAATACAACGGCGGCGGCGGGTAACATAAGGCATGGAGAGAGGGCCGCCACCACCACACCGCAGACCGCAAATTAACCAAATTATAACACCTGCCTCTAGCATAACCTTACGAGCCTCACTAACAAGCTTGGGAAAAAAATTAAGTAAAGCAAAAAAAAAAATTATTAACAGCCTCCCAGTGTGCATAATGATTCGGTGTAGACGAGAGAGAGAGATGGTGATGTTAAAAAATGGTGAAATAACTAACATATATTAACAAATTTAACATTGAAGATGATAACGAATTTAACAAGCTGGGAAAGTTTTGGTGAATTTAACATGAGGTATATTCTAATGACTTTAACATGAGTGTGTGTGAAGAATTTTAACACGAAGGGAGGTATTTAACACGAAGGGAGATATTTAACACGAAGGGAGATATTTAACACGAAGGGAGATATTTAACACGAAGGGAGATATTTAACACGAAGGGAGATATTTAACACGAAGGGAGATATTTAACACGAAGGGAGATATTTAACAAGAAGGGAGATATTTAACACGAAGGGAGATATTTAACACGAAGGGAGATATTTAACACGAAGGGAGGTATTTAACACGAAGGGAGATATTTAACACGAAGGGAGATATTTAACACGAAGGGAGATATTTAACAGATATTTAACACGAAAGGAGATATTTAACACGAAGGGAGATATTTAACACGAAGGGAAATATTTAACACGAAGGGAGATATTTAACACGAAGGGAGGTATTTAACACGAAGGGAGATATTTAACACGAAGGGAGGTATTTAACACGAAGGGAGATATTTAACACGAATATACAAACACAAAGACTAGTCCTACACCCAACATTGATTTGCTTTACTATATATACCTGGCCTAAAAGACTAACAAACAAACACACAGATTAACAAACAAAAACAGATCAACAAACACACAGACAAACAAACAAAAAATAATGCTTATACCCAAAAATCCAGGCGCAGTAAAATAAAATAATAATAATAATAATAATAATAAACTCTTTCTCAGACAAAAAAATCATTTAAAACAATAACAACAAAACAAACAGATTTTTTATAAGGGAAGGAAACTCAAACACGGACGACAAACAAACAAACAAAAACAAACACAAACATCTTTCTGACATCTATAAATGAATATGAATAAATTTTTACCTGACATAATTTTTTTAAATTTTAGTAGTTTTTTTGTTTTTTGTTTTTATACATTGTGTATTTTAATGTTGTTGTGCCTCGGTCTGTGTTTGTTGTTTTTGTTATGTTGTTGTTTTCGAGTGTATGTTTGTGTGTTTGTTTCTTGTTCATCTTGTTCTATGCTAGATGAAGCCTCTCTCTCTCTCTCTCTCTCTCTCTGGTGTTCCAGCAGGGTGTAGGGCATGTGTGATGGTGGTGATGGTGGTGATGGTGGTGATGGTAGTGGTGGTGGTAGTGATGGTGGTGGTGGTGGTGGTAGTGGTGGTGGTAGTGGTGATGGTGGTGATGATGGTGGTGGTGGTGATGGTAGTGGTGGTGGTGGTAGATGGTGGTGGTGGTGATGGTGTTGGTGTGGTGATGATGGCAGGAGACCAACCAACCACAACCCCCTACATCCTCCTCCCAATACCCTGCAAAATACTGTACTTACCCAGCACTCACCACACCTTCCCCACTCACCACCACAACCCTCCCCACTCACCACCAAACCCCACTCACCACCACCACCTCCACCACACCCTCCACTCACCATCACCCACTCACCACCACACCTCCCACTCACCACCACAACCTCCCACCTCACCACCACACCTCCCCACCACCACCACTACCACTCTCCCACTCACCACCACTACTCACCATCCATCGTCTACTGCACTACCTCACCTGACTCACAATACACCGTGGATAAACACACTCATGACCACACACAATCGGGATATTTTACGGCACAACAAGCTGCTAAAATGGAGTGCCTCTTTTCCTCTTTTTCTCATTTTCCTCCTTTTTCTTATTTTTCCTCTTTTTTTCTTCCTTTCCTTTTTACTCCTTTTTATTTTTCTTCTTTTTGTTCTTGGGGGAGGGAGGGGAGGGGGTTGTGTGGGCCAATTACTTGTAGGCAAATATAAAGACGTAGGTGTAGTATTTCAGTGTTTATCTCTCTCTCTCTCTCTCTCTCTCTTCTCTCTCTCTCTCTCTCTCTCTCTCTGTGTCTGGGCCAATTAATTGTAGCCAACTATGAAATGGATGATCTCTCTCTCTCTCTCTCTCTCTCACAAGTTTTCACCTTCAAGTCAGCTAATCCGAAAGTTAGACCGTAAATCTCACGGATGAAACGAATGAAAAATAAACAGGTGTATCTTCTTGCATAGAGAGAGAGAGAATAAAGGAAAGACTTAAGAGAGTGAGAGAGAGAGAGACAATGTAAGGCAGAGAGGGATGGAGAGCTCAGGTCACCAACAAAATGGTCAACACACACACACACACTTCATGGGTGAGGGAGGGATGAGAGGGGTGTGAGTGGGGTGTGAGTGGGGTGGGGCCTCAACTCCACTAGATATCATCTGACACAAGAGCTCCTCTGATCTTCAGGGAAAAGAAGCGGTTCTGATTGTTGCGTCTGCCGTGCCTCAATGTTTCAACTCGTCGACCTTATGACCCGGGGAGCAGAGGGTCGAGAGTCCCTCAACCCAGGTGGAGAAATCCATGCCCGGTTCCTCCCGAAAATCTTAATACGCTGCAAGTCCCCCGGAATCCGTTTTGTTTTCACCTGTCTCTCGTTTACACCGGGTTTATTTATTTCTCGTTCTCTGCTTCTCTCCTTTACTTGTCGACGTGTGTTAAGGGCAGGTGTAAGCGTCGCCCTGTGTGTATGTATGTGTATGTGTGTGTATGTGCGTGTATGTGTGTGTGTGTGTGTGTGTGTGTGTGTGTGTGCTCGTCGGGACCACATTGAAACACACCGTCTGGCCCTCCTCACCTCCCCCAGGTTGCGGGAAAGGTATAAATCGTAAGTTCGTACATCTGACAAAGGGAATCAGAGGCTTGGGGGTAGGTGGAGGAGGGAAGAAGGAAAGAAGGGAGGGAAGGAGGAGGAGATGGAGGGAGGGAGGAGGGGGTATCACAGAAACTCGAGAAACCAAATTCTCCCGACATTTATTTTTAATGTTCTAAACTCCTTCGGTTTCCTCCACCGACCCCAATTACGACTTAACCTCCTTTAAAAAAACTCCTTTCATACCCCGGCCCTCGGGTCGTCTCTCTCACATATAGAAAGTAAAAAAAAATAAAATCGATACAGAAAGCGCGCGCGGGAAAGACTTAACAACGAACGGTGTGTGTGAGTGAGTGGGGGGGCAAAATGGACGCGCGTATGGCAACAGTGAGAGAGAGTGAGAGGGAGAGAGAGTGAGAAGAGGTCTGGGAAACTTGGCCGTTGGTTATGATGGAATAAAATTTGCCAGATCAATCTAAACTTGTGAAGTCCGGGAGAGCGTTCTAACTCTCCACGAACAATGGTGCCCCTC